CCCCCTCCCCCACACATTGTATCATTGTGTGTCAGTGTGCTCAAACTTTACCACATCTTTCGTTCGTTTGTTCAGTTTTAGTAAGTGTTTTACGGCACTTGCAGCACAATAAGGTCATATAAGTGCCGAAGATTCGAGGTGTTACAACAAGAGAGTAACAAACGCAAAAAAGGAGGAGAGATAGGACGATAGATGTTCGATAGGAAAGAAGAAGCAAACCACACCAGAGCACCCGCCAACCACCCACTTGTTCGTTGAGTTAAGAAAAGCATACATGTATATGGTGCAAGGGAAAAGGACAGACAGACGTCTAGACGGACAGAAACAACAGAGGAAAAGAACAGAAAATACGTAGGACCTGCAGTCAGTCAGCAGCGCACTCCAACCACTCGCCCACCCCTTTCAATCAACGTAGTCGGCAGGTTATTTAAGAAGTTGGACCTACAATTCGACATCTTTAAACGATAAATATGATCGAGCCCAGTGAGTGGCTGAACAATCATCCCCGTGCCGTAAAGTGGCACAAGCAATACTCTGAGTTTTAGTAGCGATTTTACGGCACTCGCAACTGCATAAGGTCATATGAGCGCCAGAAGATTAGAGGTGTTACAAGAGAGTAACAAACATTAAAAAAAGAAGAAGGGGAGATAAGGACGATAGATATTTAATAGGAAAGAAGAAGCAAGCCACACCAGAACGCCCGCCAACCACCCACAAGCAATACTCTGAGCCTGAGCGGTAAGAAGAAAGCAACACAGACAAGATTAGTTTCTATGACAAGGTTTTTCAGTTGCAATATTTATTGAGTCCTGGCATAACAGAACAGTCACACCGGAGCCCGCCACGACGTGCAGGCAACATTCTGGCTTCACCTAAGACACAGCGAGAAAAGGAGGAAAGTGACCACAGAATCAACAGAATTGCTCAAAGTCAGAGAGGAGGAAAAATGTGCAGCAGTAAAACACTCCACACCTACTTTTTGGGGGTTGGTTGTTGTTGTTTTTTTTCAATCAAGTGACGATAAGCTAACACTGTAATTTGTGATTTCATTTTTGAAAACACTTTCACGTTACACACATGAATACCTCTGAGAGGAAAAAAAACAAACAGACAAACAAATAAATACCGGTCTACATCTTCACAAAGGCAAGCAGAGA